AAAAATTTGTAAAATAAGTGATGGATGTTAACTAAATTTACTGCAGTAATCTTGTCACAATATACCTACGTCAAATCATTACATTGTACACTTTAAACTAATAACAATGTTATATGATAATTACATCTCAATAAAACTGCAAAAATAATTTGATCAAGCTAGAAGACTGAATTACCTATCTATTCTTTCCATACAAAATGATAATGCAAATTGTTGTCATATAGAAATTATCCAATTTTAAAATGCAGGGAAAATAGCATTATAGAATTATTTAGACAATTAACAAAAATATGTTGTTTTTTTCTGAATTTTAGTTTGTGGTTATTTGTCAGCTTTTAAAAATTTACCAAGAGTAAACTCTAAAAGATATTAAAAATGAAACAAAAATTTAATTAAAAAAAGTTTAATGGTTCCTGGATGACACCAAGAGCCAGAGGAAAGCCAATTAATTTCTAACTTTGCCCCTCTCTGAAGCAAAAACAAAACAAAGGGCTTTGAATCTTGAATTAAAACCTGTTGGTTTTAGTGAGGAACAAAATCATACAACCATCCAAACAGACCCAATAAATGACAAATATTTTCAGAATAAAACTTTACTCTCTAAATAATCAAACTCTACAGGGAACTACTTCTAGTTCCCCCAGTGACTCCATGCTCTCTTGCCTCTCTTTTCACATGTTGTGCCCAGTGACAGAAAATCCTTCTACCACATCTCTGCCTGGTTGACTCCTACCCATACCTTGGGCCTCAGCTTAAAAATCACTTCTTCCAGAAGAATCCCAAATATGTGTTAGATATGTGCTTCAGAGTCCTATCAACTTACCCATATCACAATATACTTTAATGTCCATTCAGTTGTCTGCCTTTCCCCCTAGGCTGCCTCTGACAGGGCAGGGACTGTGTCTGTCTTCTTCGTACAGTTCAGCATGGTGCCTGGCACAGAGCAGGTGCTTTTATTAAATTACTTTTATTTTAAGATTGCCTCCATATAAGGATGACAAATAAAACTCTGACCAAAACCTTTTTGAAATGAGGTATGGAGAGAAGGTAACCATCCAGTTTAGATAACTAAATATAGCAAATGTCAATTTACCTAAAGATATATTTAAATCCGGCACCTCTAGGGCATTAAATTTTACCATATTTAGAAACACTTTTTGTTACTAGTCATTATCTTCATTTAAAAGAAAGTTTTCTAATTAGACCTATCAAATTAAGTCAATTCAATTTTATTTAATAAGACAGTGGGAAAAGACAAGAGAAGGAAATACAAAACAAAGTGGCTTAACTGCTAATCTGAATAAATGTTCAATTTTTAGAATGGAAAAATTGAATTGAATTAGAGTGGAGAATTGAGTTTAAATGGTTGAGGTTCTTTGTTGCTAATCGTCTATTCAAGACTACTTATATCAACTAGATAAGCATTTTGGAAGCTGGTCAACATAATAGCCCAACAGTTAATATATATTAAAAATCAAATCAATAATTGTTGAAAGATATTTCAAAGTATTAAACACCAAGATTCTATTCTGAATTATCATAAGGAATATATTTGAAAGAATGAGTCTTATTAAATGTAGTTAGTTCAGGTTTAGGAAATAGTTTGTATATGCAGAAAAATAAATTGTATATATAGAAAAATAAATTGACCATCTTATCAGCAACTTTAGAATAGACATGACATCTATAGGTGATGGGGAAGATGATGATGATGATGATGATTTTAACTGGAAGCATAATTTTAAGTATTTTGCTTCACTTAGTGAAATTATTTACTACATAGGATATGGTTTTATAAATAATGAAGGAGAAAAACAGAACTCAACCCACAACAAGGTATGATTTAGCTACTGAAATGATCAGATGTGCATACTAATTCCTGTATTGGTGACAGATTTCAATAGAAATCACTAAATTCCACCTGCAGGCACATCATGTCAAGTATGTATAAACAATAATAATTTCATGGCAGTGGTGCCAGGGGAAATATCCCAAGATTCTTTAGACAAGTCAGTACAGTAACAGATGTAGTAGTTGATTTATAGCTAACTAAAGAATTAATGTTAAAGAGCTTACTAAAATTCATTCTGTTTCTTCTAATTCTAGAAATAGGTTAGTTTCTCCAAAAGGTACATATAGAGATAATGTATATAAACAGAAACAGAAGTGGATGGCTACCATAGCTTTCAAAGAAATAAAGTATTCTAAGCTCAAAACATAAATCTCTTCCTTCTTTTATTTATTTTTTTAAAGATTATTTATTTATTTATTTGACACAGAGAGAACGAGAGAGATAGAGACAGAGAGCAAGCACAAGCAGGGGGAATGGCAGGCAGGGGAGAAGCAGGCTGCCTTCTTAGCAAGGAGCCCAATGTGGGGTTTGATCCCAGGACCCTGGGATCATGACCTGAGCCGAAGGCAGACGCTTAACTGACTAAGCCACCCAGGCGCCCCTCTTCCTTCTTTTAGATAAATGATTAGCATCTAAATTACTTTAGTTACAATGAGTTCTGCAAGCATACTGAAAATAATCACTAGTTTAATTAATTAAAGGTGTTCAACAGGCACAGTTTATTTCATTAGCACAAAGAAAAATATATGATTTTATACAATACCTGTAGTGATAAAGGAAAGATCTATAAATTAAAATCATAATTCTGTGCTACCAGGATAAAACAACTTCTTTAAGCAAGGACTGCAAATGACTGAGAAGAAAATATCACTGATAACTCTTCAGTGGAAATTATATGGAAGGTTTGGAAAAAGTTACAGGGCAGGGGGAGGAAATAAATTAGTAATTATTTAGTTCCTAGATATTCAGGACGGTCTCTATGCTTGTCATTGTTCTAATGAGTAAGGTGTTTGGCATGAGCTGACTGGGAAGGATGTAGACTAAAGGCAGGTGAGAGTCAATGTGCCAACCACAGTTCTGCCATTTATAAGATGCATAATCCTGAATAAATCACCTGGTATCTACTAGGCCTTAGAATCCACATAAAAGAAGGATGATTTCTAGAACCTTTTAACTATAACATTAAGAAATTCTGCATGTTTCAAATTCAAACCTGTTCAGCCTTCATATCTTGTAGTTGTCACTACAGACTACAAAATGTATGAGCAAGCACTAAAAATCAAACCAAATAACTAGCTGTGGCTTTTAGGCAAGGCTAAACTATATACTAAATTTGGTTAAGTCTAGTGAGGCCAACTTTTTACTTTTCTATTAACACAAGAACCTTGCCCTACTCTGGCTATGTACTTCACAAGCAAAGAGGCTTGAAACTAAACTAAGTTCACAAAATGAAAAAGTTAGCCACAATGAGTCTGATTCAAGAACTGCTTTTCCTGTAACTTCCTAACCTTGACACCTAGTCTGTTTGCCCCAGCTGTAAGCCATAGACCAGATCAATGGGAGATGTAACCTCAAAATTAAAGCTCAGCTAAGGTTCTAGATTAAGAGGTTCCTTTAAAACTTGGAGTGAGGAGGAAAAAATATGTTGATATATACAATAAGGCTCCAAAATCATCCTAAGGAAGACAAAACTCACATCACAAAATAATATTTTAAATCCATACAGAACCGGGACAGCCGAGTGGCTCAGTCCATGATCCCAGGGTCCTGGGATGGAGCCCCATGTATCAGCTCCCTGCCCAGCGGGGAGTCTGCTTCTCCAGCTCCCTCTGCCCCTCCCCCAGCTCGTGCTCTCTCTCAAGTAAATAAATAAAATCTTTAAAAAATAAAAAATAAATCCATATAGAACCTTTTATAGAACTTAAAGCATTTTATAAAAATTACCCAATTAACTTTTCTGTCACTTCTGTGAAGAGTCAGTATTATCTGATATTTTCCAAAGGAGGTAAAAAGAAACAAAGGAACTAAAGTTACTCTCTTTGCCAATGACAGAGCTTCTTAAGTCCATATCTAGTGTTTCAAACTTGTGAAAAAAGATGCTCCGCTCCATGAGAAATTAACAGATGGTGTATTGTCTTGCTTAGCATATCACCTAATCAGTTCAGTATCTGCCACACTGTAGGTTCTCACTGTATATCTACCCAATGAATAAAGCTACTAATGACAGCTAATAATTACTAGAGTTCATGTATCAAGTACTGTGCTAAGTCCATTACATATATTATTCTACTTAATCCTACCAACAACTCAAAGAAGTAAGTAAATTATTACTTCTCATTTTACTGATAAGAGAACTAAGGCCTACGTTAAGTAACTTGCCCAAGATTACAAACTGATAAAGCCAGGATTTTCACAGAGGTATCTCAACTTTAGATCTTGTTTAAAGATCATGTAGAAAGAACAATAGATTAGCAGTAAGAAACTCAATATTTTATTTCATTTATCACTAAATTCTTGGAGATAATGTCTAGCATAGTACCTTACTCATATTTTTCCTCTTCAAATGTTTCCTGAATAAAATTAAAATTGCACAAGCAAATTAGGTTTCATTGTCCTCAACTGTAACATGGAGGTAAAGGTACCTGCATGGTCTGCCTCAGTAATTCTCAAAGTGTCATCCCTGGATCTGGAAAATTTGTTAGAAATGCAAATTCTCAGCACCTCCCCCTCCAAACCTACTGAATCAGAAGCCAGTGTTTTAACAAGCCTTCCAGCTGATTCTCACGCATGGGGAAGATTCTCATGTATCAGTCTACTTTCTTAGATGATTATGACTATCAAATGAGTTCAATAATGTTAAAGTACCCTAAAAAGTGAATCATGTATTATCATTAAAAGAGTAAATTACATTCCTTAAAAAAAACTTAGTGGTTTTGCTAAATCAAGATAAAAATGAACATTAGAAATGAAATAGGTTATAAAGCACTTTTAAAATAAAATATCATTCTAGATTTTACCTTGGCAATGTAGAACCGTCATGGATCCCGAGAAAAAGATGCCCATAACCATAAAGCTGAGCCTAGAAATCTGATAATGTAGAATGTGGCAGTTCAACCCAGAAATGTGAAATACTGCACAGGCTTCTTACCTGACCAGTGTCCAGTGGAGGTGCCGGATCTGTCTGTACATGTCTCACTTACAGGTCTAAACACAGTTTCCCATCCACCAGTAGCATAGCGCCAATTCTGAGATTCCAAGATGAGTGTTCGCTGAGTACCATATGCAATCATGAAGCAGTAGACCACGTGATGGAGTTGACAGCCATAGCCACAGCCTTTGTTGATATTACATACCAGCTTCTTGGCTTTGCTGCAGTCCTTGGGATTCTGTCAGGGAGAAAGACAAAGGTGAAGAGTGGTTATCTTCTCTTTATAAGTGACAAGTGTCAAAAATCATATAATCAGCCAGGACTGATCCAGTGTATCTTACTAAATAAAGAATCCAGCTTTAAGGATTGAATTTCAAAGAATCCACTGAAAGTTTATTTTAAAGAGATGGCAGTGAAAAGAAGAGTTGCTTTGGAAACATCACTGAAAAAATATGAAGCATTACACTGAAAAAAATACTTTCACTTCTCTATCACTCAGAACATGCAAGTATGATCATCTCTGAACTCAAAGTTGCATACACTGAGATCTTCATGAAAGAAGTAAAACCGTTTATTTATTCCAGCTGTACTTCAGCATGCTGTGCTTACCTTTCCAGCTGAAACTCAAATCATCTTAAATGAAAAACTATAATTTACCTATCAATTCCATCTATCTCCAGAGTTCTAGATGTCACAAACAAAATATATTTTTTCATTATGGAAGTGAAAACCACTGAATAAAAAAAAATGAGTTCAGGACTTTTTTTAAAAAAAACTAATCTGGATAGCTACTAGTAATTTTCACAATAAAATGCAGAATATGTTCTGTGTTATGCCAATTTTTTAGTCATTGAAGTATAATTAACACAGTGTTATGTTAGTTTTAGGTGTATAACATAATGATTCAACGATCCTATACATTACTCAGTGCTCATCATGAAAGTGTAGTCACCATCTGTCACCAAACACTGTAACAATATTATTGATTATATTCCCTATGCTGTACTTTTCATCTCCGTGACTATTTTATAACTGGAAGTTTGCACCTCTTAATCCCCTTTATCTATTTCACCCATCTGCCCACCCACTGTTATGCCAATTTTTAATCAGGAGGTCCATTTTTCTATTTGTATACCCTGCTATGAGTAGCAAGTGGTTATAACAGTATTATCTAACCGTGGGTGCAACAGGGTTAGTTAATGAGAGATGTCTTTTTTATTCTAAAGCTTTGACTCTGCTATAATTCATATGGGCTATTGCTAAATATCCCTAGGCATCTTAGCTCTTCAAATAAAAATCTGTTTTGACAGGGACTCCTTAGCCTAGGAAGTTTTAAGCTGTTTTGTCTGCAAGGTTAAAAGAAAGGATGGATGCCTTCAGTAACAGAATCTTTTCTCCCACAAAGTGAGAAGCAAAGTAACCAGCTCTCAATTTATATAAGCCTTGAGAAAAAGCAGTTGCCAAACCACAATCTACAACTATTTTCCAGGAATATCATCTATTTGGTCAAGCAGAGCCCTAGAAACAAAAGCTAGGAAGATGAAGGTATAAAATGATTGTGAAGGAAAAGCTGAGAAGGGAAAATACAACACAGTTACTTTCAGAAGGGTATCTTTTACATTCAAATGTGACACAGCGGGGCTGGTCTTTTTAGATCAAAGCTGAACCCAATACCATCAAGAGCCTTCTTTAAAAAAAAAAAGATTTTATTTATTTATTTGAGAGGGAGATAGAGCAAGCAGAGCACAAGAGCAGGGGGAAGGAGAAGCAGACTCCCC